CTGAGGCTGCACTTGGGGCAGGTGGCAGTGGTACTAGGAGAGGGGGTTGTGGGGGACTATGGTGAATTCTGGGGTGGCTGCAGCCCCACCCTCCCATAGCCCTCCCAGTGCTGCTGCCTGTGACCCAGCCCTCACTGGGAACAGCCCACCACAGCCCCTTCCCAGCCCACAGCTGCAGCTTGTCCTGCCTTGATCCAGGGGGCACAGGAGCTGCCCCCTCCCTTGTACCCCCCTGGACAAGCTGTGGCTCCATCCTGCACCCCGCCCCACCCTGGCTGGGCAGCACCTACCTCAGCCCCTGCCCCACTCTCTCCCTCACCGCAGGGGCCTTGATCTGCTCCTCACCTCTTCCTTCCCCCCTCCCCTTCCACTACAACAGACTTACCAGCTGCATGCAGCTCTCCATGCTGTATTGGAAATCAAATCAGTATCGGCTGATATGCCTCCTTAAAAACTGACTGTCAGTATCGGCCCCCAAAATCTCTATCGGTGCACCCCTAGCGTGTATATGTTTGTGTGTATATGTGTGTGAGTATAAATATATCTGTGTGTGTGTCTAATTTTGTTTGGGTATATATGTGAGTATATGGGTATGTGTGTGCGTGTACATATGTATATGAGTGTATGTATTTGTGTGTATATATGTCTGTTTATATATATAGTGCGTATTCATGTGTATATGTTTGTGTGTACATGTGTATTTGTGTGTGTATATGTATGTGTGTGTAAATGTATGTATATATGTGTGTTTTATATATGTGTGTATTTACATATACAAGCATGTATATTAGGGCTGTGTGAAATTTCACCGGCTGTTTTGATTTTACCCTGTTTGGACTCATTTTGAGCTCAAAACAGTGCAATCGAATCGAAACAATGGGCTTTGAAACAGCCTTGAAACAAAATGAGGCTAACTGAAATGTTTCAAAGCAGCCAGTGGTGAGAGACAGGGGAGAATGAGGGCTGCGCTCCCAGCAGCAGCCGGGAGCGCAGCTATGGCTCTGTCTCCTGCCATTGGGCTGCGGGAAGCTGATCAAAGTGCAGGGGAAGGGAACTGAGCCTTGGCTCAGTTCTCTTCCCAAGCACTGCAATCTGGCTGAGGGAAGGAACTGAGCCCCATTGCTCAGTTCCCCTTACCAGTCCTACGATCGGGCTGGGGATGGGAAGTTAGCCCAACTGGACTGAGTTCCTTTCCCCAGCATGATGGTCAGGTGAAACGTTGAAACAGCATTGAAACAGCCTCACTGTTACGATGAAGCGAAACAGTGAGGCTGTTTTGACTTGAAATTTGAAACAAAACACGGTTCCGTCCAAACCTCGAGACTGAAGCCGAAATGGAACAGTGCCGTTTCGCACAGCCCTGGTGTATATATGTGTGTGCATATGTGTATATTTTTTGTGTGTATGTGCATACGTTCGTGTGTGTGTATTTGTGTATGTGTGTATATAATATATATACACATGCATGTTTGGGTGTATACATGTATACCCGTATGTATATCAATATACGTGTATATATCTATGTGTATTTATATGTGTACATACGTATACACATATGTACATAGGTGTCTATATCTGTACGCGTATATACGTATGCATACAGTGTGTGTGTTTTTCTATATGCATGCATATATACATGTGTGTAGGCATGCGCGCGTGCATGGACATACACACACTCCCATCTGTATGCAGAGCCACACACACATCCATACATATACAGAGGCGTGCCCAGAGCGCGAGCGGCAGGTCCCTTCGCCCGCGGCGGTGACAAGCTGC